ATTATGCTAACTATATTTATCTTTAGCTAATATTTACTGTTTTTAGCTGATGTTTTAGGTTAATTTACACCTTAAACTTTTATGCCTTTTAGCTACCGTTTTGATAAATTATGCTAACTATATTATCCTTTAGCTACTGTTTTAGCTAATTTTTTAGGTTAATTTACACCTTAAACTTTAATGTCTGTTTTGATAAATAATGCTAACTATACTTATCTTTTAGCTAATGTTTTGCTGTTTTTAGCTAATGTTTTGGGTTAGTTTATACCTGAAGCTTTTATTTTATGCCCTTTAGCTACTGCTTTGGTAATATGTGCTAATTATATTTACCTTATCGGCTAATATTTTACTGTTTTTAGTTAATGTTTTGGGCTAATTTACTTTTTAGTTAATTTTAGCCTTTAAGCACAATATTGCTAAATTTAGCTTTTTGCATTTGTTTTGCTATTTTCAGCTTGTAGCAGCTGTTTTTAGCTTCTGTTTTAACATTTCAAGTAATGATTCATTCTTCATCTTTCATGGTTTTTCTGTGTTTTTTTTATCAAAATGTAATTTGTTGAGGTGAAGATGGACTCTGAACACGAGCAGATTTTAGCTTTATGTTCTTCACATCCTTTGATCAAAGCCAGATGTTTTATCGCAGAGTTTCCAGCTGCTTCCTGATCCCTTTTTGTTCCCTTTTTTGCCTCTAAAATGTTCATCTGGTTGTTTTCAAAGCGAGTTTTCTTGCTGCCGCTGTTTTTTTTCTGTTTCTTCTCCACTTGTTATTTCATCCTGAACCCAGTTTCTCCTCTCGTCTTCCAGCGTCTGACCCACTTCTGCTACATTTTTTTCTTTTCTCTTCCAGCTCACAGCAGCAGCCAAGCAGCTCTTTCTGTTGCCAACTATAACAGATTTCACAGAACCAGAAAAGGAGGCAGATTAATCGTTACAGTAGGGGCTTCAGTTACAAAATGATGACAAATGTTTAACACACACACACACATGGATAAAAAAAAACATCACTCTGCTTTTGATTTTGGCAGTAGGTCATTAAAATGTAAGCTAATTTAAACATTAACTTGACAGTCATGGAAAGTTATTGATTTGGTGTGTTTTTAGTGAAAAAAAAGATAATGTAACTATAAACTTGACATTACTTTAAATACATTTTAAATTATTGTTGAATACATGTGGTAAAATCAAGTATGTTTCAGTAAACAATTACAAATGATGCTCAGAAGCAGACTTGTGGAGGTGATGATGAAATTGCTTTAATGTTTTTGCTTATTTGAAATCCCAGCAGAACTGCTTTCAGACTTTAAACCTCTCTGAGTTGAAGTCTGATTTATTCATCTGCTCCTTCATCTTCATCCGAGCCCCATGGATCCCCTGACATCAGAGCATTGCGCCGTCACGTGAAGCTGTGTTCTCTGGACTCTGGGGATTATTAGTCTACAACTTGGATGTGAGAGCTGCAAAATGTCTGCCTGAGCTGAGCTGCTGTAGGACTTCCTGTGGAAACAGGAAGCACCACCATCCTTGTCATGAGCAGTGAGGGACAGTTAAAACAAAATGAAGAGCGTTGAAAAGATTGCATTCATTTCAGCTTTTAGACATGGTTTTGCTAGTTTAGGCATTGGTTCTAACTTTTAGCTACATTTGAGCTAATTATCGCTTTTAACTTTGATTATTCTTATTTTAGCTTTTAGCTACATTTTTGCTAATCTAATCTTCTGTTCTGCTGTCCCTGTGAGGAACTTGGCATCAACCTGTCTGTGTCCCACACCTCTCACAGTGACCTCTGGAGACACCAGCTCCCTTCAACTCGGAGGAAAGACGAGGGTAAAACACAAGGATGGACGGATGGTTGAGGATAGATAAATGGATAATTTGATTAATGGATGGATGGATGATAGATTGATGATGGATGGATAATTGAATAAATGATGGAGAATTTGATGGTTTGATGGATGGATGATAAATGGATAGATAATAGATTGAAGATGGAAGGATAATTGGATGAATGATAAATTGAAGATGGATTGATGAAAGATGGGTAAATGGATGGATGGTTAATTTGATAAACTGATGAATGATTGGATGGATGAATGAATGGTTGAATGAATGATTGGATGGTTGAATGATTGATAAACATTTGGATGAATGATTGATTGGATGGATGGATGAATGAATGATTGGATGGATGGATGAATGAATGATTGGATGGATGGATGAATGAATGATTGGATGGATGGATGAATGAATGAATGAATGGTTGGATGAATGATTG